AGATCCAGGCAGGGCAGGGCCACTGAGATCCAGGCAGAGCAGGGTTGCTGAGATCTAGGAGGGTCAGGACCACTGAGATCCAGGAGGGGCCGTGTTCGTTCCAGAGGCTCCAGGGGAGGACCCTTCCTGCCTCTTCCAGCCTCCGGGGCTCCAGGCATCCCTGGGCTTGTGTCTGCGTCCCTCCCGTCTGTGCCTCTGTCTTCACGGGGCTTCTCCTCTGTGTCTCTGTCTCTCTTTTGTCTCTTACAAAGACACGTGCCATTGGATTGATGGCCATCCCGATCTGAGAGGTCACATTGTGCGCTTGCGTGGATGTGGGTTTGGGGGGACATTATTCCCTCCAGGACAGCTGTGTCTGCTTTTCTCCCGAAGCAGTGACGGCAGGAGCAGGTGCTCCCAGAGGCCCTCGGATGGCAGCTGCCAGTCTCCATCTGTGCCAAACCTACAGTGGGGACGCTGCCTGCCCCCCAGCCATCCCAGCCTGAGGGTCCCTGAGCCCAACGCCGTGCATCCCAGTGTGATGAACAAAATAGCAGGCAGTGCTGTTCCAGACGGATCCCCGGCTCCAGGAAACCCACTGTTTCAGCATCCCGGACTCCCCAGGGACAGGGGTCCTCGTCTTCCAGGAGCGGCGCATATTGTGGGGCTGGTACTGCTGCGTCCTGGGCTCAGGAAGGGACAGGCACAGAGGGGGCTTGGGTGTGATCCTGCTGCAGGCTTGTGTGCTCGGTGGTCTTGTCCGGGGCCCGGGCACCACGGGGCGCCAGGGCTCAGGTCAGGTGCACGAGGCCACCTCACAGCCTGGGAGGGCTTGCACGTGGCTCAGGGGCTCTAGGCTGGCACCAGGAGGCAGAGGACCGGCAGGAGGGCACCTGGGGGGAGGCCGCACCCTGGAGCCCGTCAGGGAGCCCCACGGTAGCTGCGGACCCACGTCGTCCTTCCCAAAACTCGGCCTCCGCAGCTTCTCATGGAGCTGGAGACCCTCAAGCCTTGTGTGTGGGGGGGGGGGGGGGCTGAGCCACACCTCCTGGATGGATGTCCTTCCCGTCTGGACATTGCGACTTGTAGGATGTGAGCCTCGAGGAAACAGAGTGACCAAATCACTTGTAAGCTATCGTGGTGGCTCCTGGGGGCAGCAGATCAAATGGGGGGGGGGGTCCTGTGGGCTCCCGGGGCACCGAGCCCAAAGG